TGGGAGAGCTGCAGGCCAGTGGGGAGACGAGATATCACAGCCACTTCCTATCCTTGCTTACCCTGCACAGCCGGTTTCATTTCCTTAATCCCCATCCCAGCATTTTCTTTGTTGTTTTCTTTGGAGGGGAGGGAGCTTTGCTGGAGGCTGCTGCTCACTGCAGTGCAGGAAGCACTTTCACACTCTGGGAGACCAGCATGGACTGATCTGTTCCCAGTGGGCTCACTCTGCTCTTGGGTGCAGCAGGTGCTGCTCACGGGGGGACAGGGACCCCACCTCAGCAGTGGAGCACATCAGGGTGTGTGTGGGATCCCCTGCCCTGCTTGGGAGGACTATATTTACATGCATTTGCATACAGCTCTGCCAGATTTGCAGACTCAGCCCTGCTAAAACACCTCGTGCTCCAAATGGCCTTTTGCTCTCACATCCTTACAGCACCAGCTTTGGGGCAATGTGTTCCTACCTCAGCCAAGCTTTGCTTCACCTGGTGCAATGTTGAGTCCTCAAGGCTGCAGACACCTCAGCTGTGCCATTGCCCAGCTGTGCCAGTTGCCCTGCCACTGGCTATGTCTGTTGGGCTGGGCTGGTTTTGGGCTTGCCCACAAGCTCAGCCTTCCTGCTCAGTGTTGGACAACAGCAAGGGACTGCAGGAATCTTGTGAATCATGGATACTTTTGGAGTGATCCTGTGGGTGTGTGTGAGAGCTGGTTCCTGCTGTGCTGAGATGGGCATGGCTGCCAGCTTGCAGGAGGAGGAGTGGTCCCAGGGGCTGTTCAGCACCCCAGGCTGAGCTGGGACAGCAGTTGGAGATGCTGCCAGCAACTTTCCTGGGGTGGAGAAGGGAGTTAGGAGGTGGGGACAGCTGGTTGGTGGCCAGAGAGTCTGGACCAGTGCTGTTCTGCAGCTCCTTACCCTCCTGGCCCATGCTGGGGCTGAACCTGATGAAGTCACAGTCTGGATGTCCTGGCTTTGCTGCAAAGCCCTGACCTGGACTCCAGATTTCTGGCCAGAGTCTGGGAGAGCTGACCAGCACCCAATGCTGGCCAACACTGAGTGGGTTTGCAGCCACTCTGGGGGTATCCTATCTTTCCTTTTCCTGGCCCTATGAGCAGGCAAAGTGCTGGGACACACAATTCTACTCCATGGAAATGTTCAGGCTGGGTCAGGGCTGCGGCCCAGCCTGCTGCCATGAGCTGGCCCCGAGTGTGTTGGGGAAGGTTTTCCAGCAGAGCTCAGAGGACCTGCTGGCACAGCCTTTCTGTGCTGCTGGCCAGTTCCCGAGCACGGCCAGGGCTCTGGTGAGTCAGCTGGAGCAGCAGCTCACATTGCTCATGCTGCATCAGCGCCGCCCTGGCTCCCTCATCTTTTACCAGGTGGTGTTTTCCAAAAATGCGCAGCTGGAGGGATGGGGAGCTCAGTGCTGGGATGCTGGATGCTCATCTCTAAGGTGGTGGCAGGGATGGTGGCAGGGTTGGTGGCAGGCTCTGTGGAGGCGCCTCAGCTTCTCACAGGGGCGGTGGCTGGGCTCTGAGTGTGCTCAGCATTCGTGGCTGTCCCGGTGCAAGGCTTGGAGCCCCAGCCTGTGTGTGCCTTGCTCCAGCAGGAATGCTGAGCATGCAGCAGCTCCAGCCTGGAGCCAAGGGCTGGCCTCCAGCCCTCCGGAGAGAGGGGAGAGGAAGACGTGGCTCCAGGCCCAGCCTGCAGTGAGAAGAGCAATTTGGGCAGAGACCTGTGGTGCGGGGCTGCTCTGACAGCTCAGGCCTTTCTCTGCACCATGGAGTGGCTGCAGGCAGCTGGCACGGCTGCTGCTGAAGCTGCCAGGAGCAGGGGAATGTGCTTGGAGTGGTCTCGGGTCACAGGCTCTGGAAAGGTTGGATCCTGTACTGGGAGGAGCTCATTAATGCCAGCAGGTTCTCAGACAAAGTGCCCTTGGGCTCAGGGACTCTGTCCTGCACCAATGCCCAGCTTCCCAAGCTGACTGCTGGGAAGGCTCCTTCAGTGACAGGAGCCAGGGGTATCCATATCCATGCTGGGAGGGTTAGCCAAGGAGTATCTGTATCCATAATGAAAGGATTAAACCAGGAGTACCCATGCATAGCCATGCTGGCAAGATTAGCACAGGAGTATCCATATCCATAAAGAAAGGGTTAAACCAAGATTATCTGCATCCATGCTGGGAAGGTTAACCTAGGAGTATCCAAATCCATGCTGGGAGGTTTAACTCCTTCCTGCCAGCAGGCACCATACCTCCATAATTCCAGGAGGGAGTTTTGGAGGGCAGGCAGGCCAGGGGTGCTGTTGGAACTTGGGCAGGAGCCTGTCCTTGTTTTTGTTTGCCAAGCTGGTCCGTGCTGAGCAAGCTCCCAGAGCAGGCAGTGCAGTGTGCCAGCTCTGACCTTGGCACAGGGAGTGCTTGGCTCCCCAGCCCAGCCTGGCAGGGCAGCAGGCTGAGGGGAGGGTGCAATCCCCTCTCCTGCTGTCTCTGCAGGGCTGCTCCCCAGCAGCAACCAGGAATGGGGCTTAACTTGGGATGGTGGTGCATAGGTAAGTGGAATGTGGTGGTGTGGGTCAGTCTACCCCCAGGCACCCCAAGTTTTTACTGAGAAGGAGGTCAAACCCTGGAACAGACCTCCTGGAGAGGTGGTCGGTGTCCCAAGCATGTCAGTGCCTCAGAGGCATTTGGACAATGCCCTTAACAACGTGCTTTAACTTTGTGTCAGACCTAAATTGCTCGGGCACTTGGTCCCAATAATCCTTGGATGTCACTTTCAACTGAAAATTTTCAGTGGTGACATCATGTACAGGGTGTGGGTGGGATCCAGCCCCACACTTGATCCAGGGGGGATGCTGGTCAGGTGGTGACAGAGTGGCACAGTGGTGCTGACCACGCCAAGCACAAGGTGGGTCACCCTGGTGGTACAGGGATGGTGTGGCACTGGACCTGGGTTCAGAATGGATTGAGAGCAGCCCTGAGGAGAAGGGCTTGGGGGTATTGGTTGTGCAAGAAGCTCAACATGACCTGGCCATGTGTGCTGGCAGCCCAGAAAGCCAAACGTACTCTGGGGTCCATCCTCAGAAGAGTGGGCAACTGGCTGAGAGAGGAGATTCTGCCCTTCTGCTCTGCTCTGCTGAGATCCCATCTGCAGCACTGCATCCAGTCTGGGGCCCCAAAATAAGAAGAATGTGAACCTATTTGAGCAAGTCCAGAGGAGGCCATGAAGATCCCCAAAGGTCTGGAGCATCTCTGCTGTGGAGACAGGCTCAGGGAGTAGGGGCAGTTCAGCCTGGAGATGAGAAGACTCCAGCGAGACCTTGGGGTCCCTTCCAGTACCTAAAAGGGCAGCAGAAGACGTGAAGAGGGACTGTAGACAAGAACACAGAGTGCCAGGACAAGGGGGGATGGCTTTGAAGTAACAGAGGGCAGGATTAGATTGGACATTAGGAAGAAATTCTTCCCTGTGAAGGTGGGGAGGCCCTGGCACAGGCTGTGCAGAGAAGCTGTGGCTGTCCTGTTCCTGGAAGTGTTCAAGGCCAGGTTACGTGAGGCTTGGAGTAACCTGATTTAGTGAAAGGAGTCCCTGCTCATGGCAGGGGGCTGGAACCAGGTGGTCTTTAAGGTCTCTTCCAACCCAAACCATTCTGGGATTCATCCACCACGTGGCTTGGTGGATCCACCCTGGCAGCCTCTCCCTGTTGGCCTTTTGGCTTTTCCCTGGTGACCTCAGGACCTGCTGTCCCTTCTCCCATCTTTGCATCACTTCTCCTTCAGTGTAACCAGGCCAGCCTGGAGAACTGGGCTGGGAGCTGGGACGCCCTGGTTCTCACAGAGCAACCTTGGCAGCAAATGCTCTGCTCCTTGATGTGGCCCCAGGAGAGTGAGAGTGGTGCAATGATCTCCTTGTCACTGATATTGCCCTGCTCCACTGGGCTCCAAGACCTGATGATGGTCTAATTAGTGTTTCTGCCTCACAGCGCTGGTGGGAGCACTGCTCAGCCTTGTCCTTGCATGGAGGGTGTCTCACCAGGGCTGCAAAGGCTCCAGTTCCACTTAAAACTGGGTCGACTTGGTAGGATCTAGGACAGGTAGGAGAAAGATGGACTTGGGAGAAAGGAGAGGGGCAGGGTGCAGCCCCCCAACAGGCATGTGTCTTCCTCACCTCTCCACCCTCAGGGATGCTCAGAGGTGCCAGGGTTTAGGAAGTGGACTGACAGCTGCAGAAGCAGCACGGTGTGATTGTGGCATCCCTCGGGTGACAGCCTGCATTTAGACTGCCACTGCCTGTCCCTTAGCTGGGGAAGCTGGGAGTGCTCATCTGCTGCTTCCCTAGGATGTTGGGATGGGAAATGTGGATCAGTGTCAATGCTCTGCTCCCCCAGAGTGCACTTTCTGACTGGGAGAGGTCAGAGCATGGCTCAGTTGGACGCAGGAGCTGAGGGGGGAAGGCAGGGTGGGGTGCAGGGTGTCACAGAGCTGGGAGCAAGGATGTTTGGGTGTTCCCTCTGCCACCGACTGAGTGACTGCACAACCTTGGTCATGGCACTTCACTGCTGGAATGTGAAACATGCCCGGGGTCCCTCAGAGAGCACTGAAGCCTGGGAGGCTGTGGTGGCCCTTGTGAGGGGACACGGGGGCGGTGAGGGAGGAGGTATTGCTCCGGCCATCGCTTCCCTGGCAAGGGGAGGCTGTGGGCGCTGTGTGCGGCAGGAAGGCCAGCAGCAGCCCGGGGCCGAGCAAGCCGGGCTGCCCCCACTGCCCTCGCCCCGGGGGAGGTGGGATCCTGCTCCGGCTCACGGTGGGGCTTGTGGACCCTGGGAATGCTGACGGGCCGGCGGGTGTGGAACCCCGCGGGCCGGGCCGGGCGGCGGTGGCGGTGGCGGCGGTGGCGATGGCGGTGTCGGTGTCGGCAGCGGTGTCGCTCGCCTCGGGGAGGGAGGTGCTCCCGTCCATGCAGCTGCCATTGGCGCTGGCTGGGCCGTGGTTTCCTGCCGAAATCACATGGCTCCCGCGTTTCCATGGAGAGAGCCGGGGTGGGCGCTGCCAAGAGCCTGCACGAACTCCCCGCTTGCTCCCGTCCATGGGAGTGGAACAAAGGGGATGCACCGAGCCAGGCCCGCTTTCGCCCCGCGCCTCGCCCCTCGCCTCTCCTGGGACATGTGAGTGCCACCCGCACCTCCGCACCCCGCGGGCACGGGAGGGTCGGGGGGAGCGGGGTCGGTGGCCCTGGCAGGGCTACACCCTTGGGGGGCCACGTCGCCGCAAGCCACCGCCCGCCCGCCCGCGTCCCCTCTGCCGCCAGCCCCGCTGGGCGCCCCACGCCGCGCTGGGGGCTCCGGGCTGGGCGGGAGGGCAGGGACGGCGACACGGACACGGGCACGGACACGAACACGGACACGGGCTCCGCTCCTCCGCCCCACTGCAGAGCAAAGCGATCCTCCGCGCTCCGGCCGGCACCGTGGCCGGAGCCGCCCGCAGTAGGAGCCGCCTGACAGTGGGGTATCAGGGCGAGCAGCCCAAATGTCACGCCCCGACCCTCTCTGGGACAGATCAGCTTCTCCAGCCGCTCTTTCGCTGCCGGGTTTGGAATGACGCTGGTAGCACGAACCGTGCCCGGCCCCGAATCCCTCGGGACTCCAGGCAGGGGTGCGGGCAGGGGTACGGCGGGCGAAGGAGAAGCTGCCCGTGCCCATATAGGGCCGTGCCCGAGCGCCGGAGCGCTGATCCCGCGGCAGAGGCTGCAGCCATCGCCCTATGGAGCCCCGCGCCCCGGGACCCGCCGGGCTCCCCGGGGACCGGGGTGCACCGTGTCAGCTGGGTGCTGCCTCCTCCTCCCCTCCGGGGCAGCGGCGGGAGGAATGCTCGGGGGAATTAATGACACAGATCTCGCTTTGTTGCTGGCCCGATCCTCCTGTCTCCCAGCCCTTCCCAGCCTGCCAAGAAGTGCTCGGGAAGGCCTCGCACCATTAACCCTTCCCCCGCCGCACCTCCGGCCATACCAGGGCATGCAAACAGCCTCAGCGGGTTTTGCCCTTGCCGCATTCCCAGAGGAGATTCCCGAGGGCACTGGGAAGTCCTGGGCATCCTATAAACCCCGTATCTCCCGTTTCCTGGCTGGTGGCCTTGCTGCGTCCCCCGGGCAGGGCTGGGACGCGAGGCTGTGACGCCGCGCAAAATCCGGCAGTGCAGGGCTTGTCACCGGCTTGTCACCAGTGGCGTTGCCTCCTCTCGGCTCGCTCGTGAGGATCCCCGGTGCCTTGCCACAGTCCCCTGGGTGGAGAGGAGCTGTGGTGGTGTCTTGGTATCCCTGGCATGGTGGTGGCTGAGTCCCCATGGAGGACATGTCATGATGGGGTTGAGCTTGGAAATGGGGGCGGCAGTGGACATGGCAGGGCAGGGATCGGGGATGTCAATGGGAGCAGCTCAGAGGTGTTGGGGTGCAACCAGGGGATAGCTGTTGATCTGCAGTGGTGAGGACAGGGATATCTCTTCCCAAGGCTTGCTGAGCTTCTGGTCAGAGCGGCTGTTTTGCCCAGGACTCTGCTGGCTGGGTTGCAGCAGGATGCCTGCGATGGGCATTGGACGGGAGGAGTTGGATGGGTGTAGGGTGTCCCCCAGGAATGTCATCAGGCTGGGATCCAGAACGTGCCCGTGGCTGAGGCTCCTGCCATGACACTGACCTAAAGGACGGGACCCTGGGAAACCCATGGCAGGCAGGGAGCAGCTGGCATTCGAGATCCCCTGGGCACAGTGAAGGCAGCCCAAGCGCTGGCTTTGCGTGGGCTGAGGGCAGCGCTGGGCTGGGACGAGCTCCCCGCCGCGTGCTTTGGGGTTATTTATAGGGCTGCCATTTATATCGCTTCTATTTCTGCAGCCGTGTGGGGACTATGCGAGGAAGGAGGGGGGAGGGCTCCAGTCTGCCACCGCCCTGTGCCCAGCCCCTCCAGGAAGGGATGCTGCCACAGCTTGGGGCCAGCCTGGCTGGGGGCAGAGCCTGGCTTGACACGAGGGCTGGTCCTCCTCCAGCCCTCAGGGCATCCACTTGTGGAGAAAACTCTGCGTTGGGCTCTCAGGATTTTTTGGAGTTGGCTTTGCCAGTTTTAGCAGAAAGTAAAGTCCGAGAAGTCAGCTGTAGCACTGTGGTGGGGGTGACCACCTGCAGCTCCAGGACCAGCTGTCCCAGCCCAGGACAGGTCACTTGATCCCTTACTCTGCTTCTTCAAGCTGTGGCTCTGTGGTCTTCTTGCCAAAATTGTCATCTCCTAACTTCTCTCAGGACTCCCCCATGGCCAAGAACTTTTTGGTCCCTCACCAGACTGATTCCATCTCTACAAACCTTTTGGGCCAGCCAAGACTTTTGACACTGACTGAGGCTGATCTATGCCCTTTCCTGTCAGGTTTCCAGCTGTGGTGACATTCCCAGACATTCAAAGATGTCTGTGGAGTACTTGTCCAAAACAACCTGAAATAGCTTCTTCATCACCTCGGCCTTTGGTGCTGGTGCCACTAAGGCAGTGTTGAATTGGGGATGGTGGCTTCTCCAGGGGTTAGGTGGGCACAGATTCAGTGCTGGTGGTCCCTGGGAGCAGGGAGAGGCTGGAGAGTTTCCCTGGAACTCTGCTGGCAGGATGTGGGATCTATGGGAAGCTGGGCAGGGAAGTGGGAATAACCTGCTGGATTTTTCTGCCTGTGCACAAACTGGCCGTGGCTGTAGGTGTGTGTCCAAGCATGGCTGCCCAGGGAGTGTTTGCATGTTCAGCTGTTGTGGTTGGGGTGGGGATGCCCCAGGCCTGGTACAAGGAAGGCATAAAGGGACATTGCCAAAAAGGGAGCACCTGGGGCATTACACCCACAACATCCCTGCTACAGAGGAGGGATTGAGGCAGCCACCCTGGCAGGTTGAGCTGAGCCAGAGTGGTGAATATGCAGGGAAGCCTCCTGAGTTGAAGAGTCACATGGAGATGTCCCCTTCCTTGCACCCACTCCCTATTCCCAGCCCGGAACAGGGACTCATTTAACTCAATTACCACCCTGGCGCTGCTGGCGTGGCTTGTGCGCTTCCTCTGCCCTCCCTTGGCAAGGTGTCCTGAGCTGTCAGGCCCTGCCAAGTGCCTTGCAGGGTGCTGTGAGGTGCTCAGAGGGCACGGCTGATGGCATGTGTCCTTCTCTGGTACCCTCTGCCACTTTTGGAATGCCCAGCCCTGTCTCCTGCCTGCTCCTGGTGGTCTCCCCAAGGGTGATGCCCGGGATGGTGCCATGCCAGGCACCTCACCCATGTGTCAGCTGCCACACAGATTCCCCTGGGACTGCAGGCTGGGGAGAGGCAGAGTCCCCACAAGCAGCACAGCCTGGCTGCCACCCCTCTGCGAGGGAAGCCTGGAAGTCCCTCACTCTGTGTGACACCGGGGAAAGCCCCTCCCGCAGCCGGGGCAGCTTTAGCGTGGCTTTCTCATTAACCTTTAATGAGAACAAACAAGCTGGCATGGCCGTGGCTGCGGGCGCGCTCCTGGCCGTGTGCCGGCCGCGGGCTCCGCACGCTGCCAGCCGGGGCAGGCTCTGCTCAGGGAGGGATGGCCGGGGCCGGGGCGGTGCCGCAGCTATGCCATTCCCGGGGGAATCAGCACGGGGTGAAAAGCCGCCGGTGGCCACTGCCCGCGGCAGCCGCCAGGATGGGACTCTGCCCGGCGGTGGGGAGAGCCAGGGGGATGCATCGTGTCCGGGAGAGGTAGGAGACGTGATCTTAGTGCGGCTTCTGGAAGGCTGGGGTGGAGATGGGCTGCTGGCTCCTCATGGCACTGGCTCTGAGGCTGGCGGGCACCTGGGATGGTTTTTCTTTGGATGCTTCTCAGAGCCAGCCCAGCCTCACCAGCTCCAGCTGCTCTCTCAATGTGGCTGATGCTGTGCTTGAGGGTGGCCTGGGTCACAGCATTCTCTGGTGACACTGCTGCAACCTCAGCTCTGCAGGCCTGACTGTGGCTGGCTCCAGAGTCACCTGTGGGTGCCCACAGTGGGGCAGCCATGCCACCATACGTGGGAACCCCTGACGCTTCTTGTCCCCTACGGGACCTGCTCTGTGCTGGGGAAGCAATCCCACGACAGGCTCATTCTCTAGGGGAGGGGTTAACTTTGTGGGAGGACCTCCTATCTACAAGGACCCCCAAGACTCTGTCTCAGTGCTTTTCCTCCTGAACCTGTCCTGACCTTGCTCTAAAATCAGCAGCAAACAGGAAAGGAGCCTGGGAGGGAGGTGTTTCTTCCTGCTCCAGTGACGTGGTGAGGGGCAGCTGATCCCAGCCTGGACAGAGCTGGCTGCTCCAGCCTTTGTCTGACCTGGAGGGGGGTTGCAGTCTTGGGTATTCCCAGGACCAGGGCTGAAGCATGGTGACATCTGTGCCACAGAGTCTCCTGGTTGTTTAGGGCACTAAACAGGGAGCGGTGGGCCTGAGAGCTGCTGCTGGCTGCTGGCATTGGCATGGAGGGCAGGTGGGTCTGCCACACTGCGCTGTGGGAGCTGGACCCCCATGGAAAGCAGGACAGACATTCCCACATGGGAGTTGCACCCCAGCATCTTTGGAGAGCCCTTTGATAAGCCCTGGCTGAAGTGAGCTCCTCCAAGGCTTTGGATACTCAGGATACAAAGTAGGGACTTTTGAGCAAGGAAACTCTTTTCCCAGTGGCTCCTGGGTCTTGGAGGATGCCCACAGGCATACCACGGGATTGCATGTTGTGGGAAGCCTACAGCAAAGCCACGGTGATTTTATATATGCACAAATATAACTATATATATTTATTATATTTATATATACTTATATTTAAACCCAAGCAATGCAGAAGCAAGCGGCAGCGGTGTGAGCATCAGCTGCCCACGGCTTTGTGCCTGCCCGCAGTGGAGCCGGCGGGGACGGGGGCGAGGGGCTGTGCATCCCCCGCCCAGCCCCGGGTGCAGCTCAGCGCCGGCGGGGCGATCGGCAGGGCGGTGTGTGCTGGCCCTGGGTGTCGGCAGGAGCGGGGGTCTCCAAGGGAAGCGATCGGAGAGGGGCTGGAGTGGGGGGGGCGGTTTGCAGTGTGTTCCCCTCCCTTCCACCCGTGCCTCAGTTTCCCTAGGGGGGCGGTGGGGAGGGAAGCATAGGGACCGAGGTGTGCTGTGCTCCGGGTGTAG